AGTGAGAGTACTCTATTTTGTATCTAATATTATATTATATGTATATCTAATGCGAAAACTGCAGATCACTGTCATGTATTATAAGCAGAGCTTGCAAACGTTATAATAATGTTATGATTATAACATTATATTTGACAAAAAACGATTGAAATTTGTAAACGTAATTATAACGGAGAGCGATAATCAAGAATAATTAAAAAACAAAACATAACAATTAATAAAATATATTATATTATACCATTAAGCAAAACGTAATTTATAGAATATCATTAAACGAAAATAATGAAACACGTAATTTAACGATAAACGCAAAACTTGTATAACGTTTTAGTCCTAAATAACGATAAACTCAAAACTTGGATAACGTTACAATTCTAAATAATGAAAAACACAAAAATTGTGTAACGTTTTAATTTTATATAACATAAAACAGAATTTTTTTTCAAATGCAAGCCCTGATTTTAAGTATAATATTATATTGTTTACAACTGTACCGAAAATATACTTAAATCTATAGATCTTCATGGTGGTCAAAGTGAAAATTTTAAATAAAAACTTATTTTTTTTAGTTTGTATAAATTTATGATAACAATAAAAGTCTCTACAATATTTAGATTTTAAAAGATTAATATCAAGTTGCTGTGGTTGTCACAAGACTATGATCGTTTGAAAACCTTAGTACACTATAGGTACTATAACAATAGCGATCAGAATAATTCCCCCGATATGTATGTTGGCTAGCTGTAACGGATGTATTGATGACGAATAACAGGACGTAGTGTGTATAAGTTCCACCTTTCTGTTGTTAACGGATTTTCTATTCCAACCCAAGTTGGGTATTAATTACCAACGATTAACAAATACCTACGGAAATATCGTTAATTTCATAAAAAGCATTTAGAAGTATAATTTATTATAATAATTGAATAATCTTAATATTGTTCATATAGTGTTATGTTTTTTTTTATATATAATATATAGTAGTGTTATGTTATAACCAGAAAATGTTAAAAAAAAAAGTCCCAGCAAAAAGACAAAAAATAGCCTGAACAAGCAGAGACTGGAACCTTTTGAATTGATCAGTATCGGTTCCGGTACAGGTTCTCCAAAAATAACATAACTGTTCCGGTTCGGTTCTGGTTTTTTGATAAAAACAAATTAAGGTATCGATTCCGAATAATTTCGGTAATTCAAAAAGTATAATCATTTTAAATACTTATCCGGAATGAGGGTTTAATTAATAGCATGAGAAATATTAGAAAACTCATATGATCATACATAGTTTATACATTATACACAAATCTGAATACAGTAATACTATTCAATTATAATTAATAAAATTATTTTATTTTTGAACCTAAAAGAACCTATTTAATTTAAAAACTCCGGTTCGATTCCGGTACTTTATTAATTAAAATAAAGGTTTTTGTTTTGGTTCCGGTTCTTAATATTCTAAAGGTTCCAGTTCCAGAACCGGTTCTTTTAGGTTCAGTTCTAGCAAACAAGTGTTAATTATTTATCAAGTAAAAATCCTAGTAAAATTAAATAGATTAAAATTGTATTATATATTTTGTATTGTTAATAACTTTCGATTCCTTTAATTATAAATTATAATACAATGTTCAAAATTGTTATAAAAATGTTTCATATACCTACCATAAAATTGTATTTATCTCTTGTAATATAGTATTCTAGAAATGAATTAACAAAATACATCAAGAATCGAGAGTTGATAATTGATATTGCAGATAAATGATACATTTTATATAGCAATAAACGATATAGGTTGAATAAATAAATACTTTTCTAATGACTATTGGAAAATAAATTGGAAATTATCAACAATGTATACTTATATCTATATTCTATATAATATTGTATATAAATGAATCTTTATCTGTCTGTCTGTCCGTTATATATTCCTAAACAGCTGGACCGATTGCAATTAAATTTTTTACAGAGATAGATTAGACCTCTGAGAAAAAGATAGGCTACTTAAAAAAGGGTAAATTAAAAGTTCAATCCGGGGAAGTGCTCAAACAGGGATTTTGAGATTTACGATGGAAATGTTTGTTTATAAATGGTTGCTATTGGTTTTAATAATAATAATTGGAGCAGTGGCACTTCTGTTTATTTTAGTACAGAATGTAACCTTGAACCACGGTTTGGGTGGACCAATTATTTGAATTGTTTTTTTCTAATTTTTCCTTTTTTTTATTTTTCTTCTTTATCTATACATAGCTACATACATTCGTGTGTTTGGTTTTTTTTTATTCATTGGATTTTAAGGTATAAAGTATATAGTCAGAGTATGGTTAGGATTTTGTATTAATTGGTTGCATTAATCAGCCGTAGGTTGAATTAAGTCAAAACGATTTACTTGGTATAACTTTGATATACTTTAGAGTAAAATTATACACTTAAGTACAAACCACACGGGGTCCATGATCTACCACAGGTAGATTGCCTACCTGATAATAGACTGCTGCGAATCTCAGTCGCCGGCCGAGATGGCTTATTTACATTAAAATATAATATCATTTACACTTAAAAAAATATTGCTTCCACAGCGTGTTACACCCAAAAGGAGTTGAACAAACAGAATTTTTTTTCTTGGAAATGCCAGGTAATTATCGGCTAGTTTATAACCAATTACAGTTTTAATAGGTATATTATTTTATTTTATATTTTAATAAATAATAAATAACTATTTTAAAACAAAGATGCTATATTTATTTAAGTCTTTTGTCCAGAATTTTTCCCTCGGACTTGATTGATCCTATTATTCCTATTCTAAGATCATTATAACTATAGTACATCAATATTCAATATAATATTAAAGAACGCACACACAATTTTGAGGGTATACAAATCCCGCTTCCTCGTGATATCCTCTCGTAATGACGTAATGTAAAACAAATATTTAAAGATAGTATAATAGACTTAATAATGAATATTGTATATATAAAGAATAAACGATAAAAACAATATAATGCGTAACGTATTTTTGTGTACTTAAAACACTGCATAGCTATGTGATTTTCGAACTCCATTTTACAAACAAATTTGTATGCTTACGTCATTTTTGTTATAGGTACATATTTTTGTTTTTACTTTTATTTTAAAAATGAAAGTCATCAGTTTTTGCACGGAAGGAAATGGGTTGTGGGCGTGGGGGGGGGAAGCAGAGGTTGGGTCCGTAAACCGCAATTTATTTTTGCCCTCCCCCTTGAAATTGATGCCGATAGTACCACCTAATATAATATGACCGCGCTTTACTACGGATACTTTTGACAATTTTGCTATAAATGTTTTGGTTTTACTTTTATCTTAAAAATGAAAGTCATCGGTTTTTGCACGGAAGGAAATGCGTTGTGGGCGTGGGGGGAAGCAGAGGTTGGGTCCGTAAACCACAATTTATTTTTGCCCTCCTCCTTGAAATTGATGCCGATAGTACCACCTAACATAATATGACCACGCTTTACTATGGATACTTTTGGCAATTTTGCTATAAATGTTTTGGTTTTACTTTTATTTTAAAAATGAAAGTCATCGGTTTTGCACGGAAGGAAATGCGTTGTGGGCGTGGGGGGAGACAGAGGTTTGGTCCGTAAACCGCAATTAATTTTTACCCTCCCCCCTTGAAATTGATGCGCAGTTCCGCCTATAATATATTATGACCACGCACGAGTTACATATACAATATATAAGCTTATAGATTTATTTTATAACCAAACGATGTATATAACGGTTAATATACAGGGTGTTTCAATATTTGCATTACAAAAAAGTGGTAGGGATAACAATCAATTCATACGCGATCAGCATCAAGGGTGGATCTATAAATTATACTTGTCTGCGGAAACAAACAAGTACATAGGTACCTGCACGATCGCCATTACACAATAAATAATAATATTATATATTTGGTCAAATTAACTTTAACAATAAGATTCAACTTTCAATAAGAAATCTACCCCCAAATCTAAATTAAAAAAGAGTAATAAGTGATAATCATCTCCATTATATATAATATATATACACAAGGACGTAGGTACTTGGAACTATATTTCGAGGGGAAGGGGGTTTGAACCCCTAAAACTTATAAATGAAGAAAGTACAAACTATGAAATTACTCTCACAGCCATTTTATGAGAATTATTTTGGATAGGCACTGTTATTGTGTGTCCCAGTCATGATAATAATTGTTGGTACGATTATAACTAAATTCAATGAATCTGGATCAAGAAGTTAGTTGCAAAAAAAAAAATATGTTAACTAGTCCAACTGTGTATTACAAAATTTGGACTCCCCGGCATATTGTTACAAGGTATAATGTACATAATATTATAACACATTTTAACACGCGTATATTACGTTAAAGTATACCTAGTAATTATAATATTATCATTAATAATCCTATAGGTATAATATGAATTTGTAGGTTAAAAACCTATGTAGTTGGAGCCTTTTACCAAATATAAAAAAAATATGAATATTTATGTGCGCTTTTATACATTAGTATAGTGGGATAAAATCGGAAAAATAAATGTACGTCTTACCTACAACGTAGTATTTTAAATTTGTGACACTAAATGCTGGTCTACAGAGGCGCATAGGGAATACGTTATAGGGAAAATATTTTAAAAATCACACATAAATATTGAAATATACCACACCACTACAAAAGTGATTCGTTAACGCAGCCATTTTTACCCCATACTCAAATGAAAAATATAGTATCATGATGTGAAAAACAATATTTGAAAAATGTATAGACGTTAAATTTTAATTTACTAATATACAAGCATTGATGAACAACTTTAGTTACATATTTTTTTTAAGTAAAATGCATAAAAAAAAAGAACGTAGTGCATTCTTGGGCCTTTTGGTCGACAGTCCCTATGCCCTCAAATAGGCCTTTCCACATCTACCGGTCAACTATATAGTATAAGATCTATGGAGCAGTATAATAATATATAGAGAACTCGAGTACTCACCTAAGAGCCTAGGCATGAGATCTCTGGACGACATTACGCCGCAAGGTTGATGGGCATTGATCATCTGCTGCAGTGGTGTGTTCTTGTTGGACGCTCCGGACGGTCCGTGGTGCATCGGCAGTCCGCCGGACGACGATACTGCTGCGGCCACAGCGGATGGACCGTCCGTGGCCACGCCCGGCCACATGCCGTGCGGGTGTGGTGGCCACGGGAAAGATGCGTACGGGTGAGACACCTGGTACAGCCCGTACCCGGCGGCCCGGGCGAACTCGGCCGCGGCTCTCTCCGCTGCCCTGTTCCGCAATATCCGGTTGATGCTGCTCACCGACGGCGCCGTACCGTTCGTGCACACTCCTGCAAACATGCACAAAACATTTCCATTCACACAGGTGACAATACAATGATATGTTATCAATGTGGACGACTTAGAATCATATACACGCGAGTGGTATCTATTTTCTATATAGTACATAGAGATGTAAAATTTACGTACATTTTTTTTTTTGGTAATTTTGGTATGTTACCATAGGAACACTCCTCACTGCCGCATTTAAATGAACTCATAATTATGGTAACATTTATTTTTTTTATTTACTGGATACAAATTATAAACATCAATTGAAAGTTATTTTTAAATTTTTTAAATTTGTAACCGATGTCCCAAAGCCTTGAAAAGTTTAACATTACTAATATTTTAAACGTGGTTTATTATCTATATCTGTGATAAAATCAAATTTATATGAATTGCCATATAACATTTAATATTGAAATTTCACGACAACCCGTAATTCATCGGTCGTATTATATTCCAGACGGACCTCTCACAATGGAACACTTGGACTTGAATGCTTGGAACCGACCGCTGCAGTCGTGCAACTTGAGTATATGTATATCCATGTTATTATTATATATTTATAATATATTCTGCTCAACAACTGTCTATTTATAGGTAGTCATATTATTCCCTTCATATTGCAGGTGTACCTATATAATATGCTTGCGTAATACAGCATAGAATACTATTGTTTAGGTTGACATGTGCCACCGATTCGAGCCCACACACGATCTAAATGATTTCGAACGATATAGGATAATGTATTATGCGTATTACTGTTGTTGGCACCCGTAGAGTGTAGTCAACAAATCATAAGTGATATTCCTTCAACAGTGAACCATAATTATCTCGAAAAGTGTTAAAGTTTTCGAAAATATTCCCGTACACGTTTTGAACATGTAATAAAAAATATTTTTTTAGCTATTTTTTTAAAAATGTTTTTACTTTGTAACACATATATAATAAAATATTTCTAATTTTCTTTTCTTTCTTATTCTCTTAATTCCTATTGTTAATTTTAAATAATTAATAATAATAATATTGAGTTTCTTATACTTAATAAAATCTACTTTTTTGCATGTAATTAGAATATTTTTATAAGAATCTTACGTTAAATTGAATATCAAATAATAATACAAGATATATATATATATATATAAATAAATGTAATAGGTAGGTGTAATAAACTAAAACATATAGATTTGTGTTGACAGAAAAGGCGTGACGGTAAATTGAATAACAGGTGTACCTATAACATATTATTATACTTAACCAGTACATACACATACCTATACATATGTTAAAATGTTTATGGCTGAATAGTATAAATTTATAATGACATTTAAATAATAAAAAAAATTCCTAAATAACATGACATGGTTATCAATCAGATATTATAATATGCTGGTACCTATATTAATAAAATTATAGTTGTCTGATTTTTTTTATGATATTTCATACAAAAAATGTTTATCAAAATTCATTTTTTCCTCAAATTGTTAATAGATACCTATTATTTTGTACCTTACCTATCACATTAAGTATAAATTATTCTACACTAAAATAAATTTCATAATATTATAATAATATCCATACTGCATGGTATATATTTTATACCATGATAATTTTGGATCAAATTTTAATCTGAAAATATATTTACTTGGGGAGCATCTTGAATAATTATATCACTCTTTTTATATAGATGTATTATCAGATAAACATAACTTTAATAATTTTGTACATATAACATGACTATTATATCCAATTGAAATACTTAAAATAGTTCAATTAAAAAAAAAAGTTTGGAATGTACCTATTAAAACTATATAAATTATACAGCTTATGCCTTATATGTATATAGGACATAGGGTACACAAGGTGTCTCACATTTATAATTTTCATTATTATATAGGTATGTATTGTAATGTTTTATAGATATACTTATTTAAAATAAGTACCTAATTGTCAAAATATATTTTTAATTACATTTTGTTTGATGTAACTATCTGAACTCATTATCCAAAATTAAAATGATGTATCTACCTACTCATGAATATGTAACTCGTTTCTTATAAAAATGGCCTGTGTAGCAAATATCTCTATAAATCCGAAAAAACAATCATTATAGAACTATAATATTATATCGTATGTAAAAATATTTTAGAGTTTAATTATTTATAAAATAAACTTAAGTTATATTATATTAAGAAAATAAAATTAATAAATAAACTCTATTATAACAATCAATAGAAAACCTTATAAAATGTGAGTTAATAACAAAAAAGAACAAAAATGAACAAATTATACATGAAAGGTGCGACATTTTTATGAACAATATTTTTTCCAAAGTAAGGATTATTTTTTTACATATATCTAAACAAAGTTATGTCGGGCTTAGGTACACTAAGCCGATAAAAAGCAACATTATTTTTTTCTGAAAAATCAGTGACAAGTATGAATTGGGAAACAAAATAGAAACAATTCTATTACATTATCCAATCAGTCGACACAATATTAATGTTTCTAGAGACAATGTCGTGTATATACACGAAAGCGATATATGTACCTATCTAAGAGTTTCTGTTTTGTTCTTGTTCTCGGCAACTATTGTTTATTTGGTGTGAATAGATGTTCCTACGCTCTACATACTACATTTTATATTTGAAAATATAGAATTAACTCATAATCGTTATTGTGTCTCATATTTTTATTGTTCAATAAACTTATTATATGGATTCAATTTTTGTTATATCATTTTTAATTTAAATTTCAAACGCGTAATGTGTTTTCCTTTTTGTGTGATAAAATAGTGGTATAAAAATCATACGAAAATTCACTTGTTTAAAGACACTTTAAAGTGATAGAAATTGAAAAATGATTACATCGTCGTCGCTGGTAAAGTCAAATCGATCGAATTTTCACTAAATCGCTCTCTCTTTGATCCGCAATTTATCGATGTATATATATAATATATACCTTATAATAACTATTACATTTTCGTAATTCCCCGGGTCATTAAGAAACGGTCAGAACGAGCACAAGTGAGATAGATAGATAGAGAGAGATAGAGAGAGAGAGAGAGAGAGAGAGAGAGAGAGAGAGAGAGAGAGAGAGAGATATTATATAGATACAGAGTGATACAGAGACAGTGTTTGAGTGAATGAGACGAGAGAGGATTTTGACGATTCAAGTCCATTCAAGTGAACGTTTTCCGACCAGCAGCACCCAAGAAGTAGCTTGTTTGCTGACGTGACTGACAGACGGCACGCCACAATATAATAATTTCCATTCTGTTCGGTTCACACGGAAAACATAATCCTTTTATGCCGTCATGTAATTGGTAAAATGGAAAAGATAAATTCGTTACCCGTTGTTATATATATTTGTCGTCGCCGATCGATTTGACGACTGCGATAATGATGACCACAATAATAGTGGTAATAATAATAATAATAATAATAATAATAATAATAATAATATTAATAATAATAATACAATATAAATGTTGAACAACCACTATACACGAGTATTCTGTGTATAAATGACACACACACACACACACATACCAACTATTGCTGAGTACACGATGTGTAAAAGAAAATATTACGATGAAAAGGAGATAGAAATGCGCCTTCAAGCCCACGCCGAATTACCGTCGGAGGCGTACAATGTACAACATACGTATATATGGGTACTATTGCCGTACACACGCCGAACACCCAATGATCCCCATGACCAATTTAATTACGAACCTGCGTCTGTGTGATGTCGTTTTTAAAAACGATAATATGTTTCAATGATTCGTTACGAAACAACGTGAACGCAAGATAAACGTCGACTTGGCGAGTCACGTAGGTACCAGACTATAGAAATATATAATATACAATATTATTATTATATAGGTAGGCAGGTATAGGCAGGTACCTGTATATAATATAATAATATACTTAAATTATGGGCATATTATGTGCCTAAACATCTATGATATCGTCCGACAATCGTGACACGTCTACGGGCCGCTAATATAATAATAATAATGTCGACAAATGCGAATACACGTAAACACGTAGGTAGGTCGCAAACGTTCGTAAATCATGCAGCTGATCTGTTTTTTTTTCTACGGTATAATAACGCCATGTCTTACAATACATATTTGTTTCGATTTATCATTCAATTCTGTACAAGTATAGGTACACTGCTGCAATACCTAGGTATTGGTACCTAAACCATTTACATATTAATAATGTCTCCACACAGCTACGTCTCAAGTGTATATTGTATAACACATTATATTATCCGTCCAATGTCCCTTTAAAGTATTTCGATTTTATAACGTCATATATAATATCATAATGCACCTACTTTGTGCGTGTGTTTAATGTAACGGGATCAGTAGACAATAGTAGGTATTTAATATTTTAAATTACTCACAAAAACTAGTGTAATGGCAGTAATGCCACATAATAGTAAGCTTAATTGTTTACCATTATCATAATAGGTTAAAAATGAAAAAATTTAGTTGGTATATATTTTAAATTTTAAAATGTTAACTTTTCATATGAGTTAAAAATTGTGGAGTGAGTTTTAGATAAAATAGTTTCAATATTATTATTTTTGTGTAATATATATATATATAAGTCTTACTCAAATTACTTTAAATGCATTCTTATGAAACGTATAAAACTGTGTTTGTAGTTTTGTATACATTTAAAATTATTAACAAGAGGTTCAAATTAAGTGAATGAATAGGCGCACACAAAATAGCGGTTAACAATAGGATGGTTCGTTTTTAGACCAGTGCTCTTTTTATTTTTACTCGTTTGGTCTGTAGGTGTAATTATTGTAAAAAAAAAGACGAACATTTTTGTATCAGAGTTAAAAGAAAATACCTAAGTGTTAAACATATTTGAACACAATTCTATGTGAATAATAAATAAACCAATATAAATAGGTACTTGTTTGTGTTTAACAATTTCAAGTGGTCGATAGTAAATTTAGTTTTTTTAGCAACAGAAAATATGATCAGTTAAAAAATATTTTAAAAACTAGAAGTTAGGAGATACTATCAAATGTAATCATTAACTATTCTTATAATAAATTCTCACGAAATCATACCATGTAAAGCTAGTAAGTAGACAGATATTACATCGATAATTGTAGTTGTTTCAATTTCCCTCAATGTATACCCATAGATAATATAAGAATGGATAGGACATAAGAACTTATCACATGAAAATTTAGTGATACTATTTTTAAGGTTATATAAGGCAAATATTGATATGATAATTGATAAATAATAATAAATAAAATTTATATAATTTCATTTTGTTAAAATATTATTTTCCAATTTCCATTTTCCAGGCACAGGTGGCACAACAATCAAAATACAAACTGACAAATATCTAAATATAACTGACTATCATGTTATTATTATTATTATTTAATAAAATAGTTTTGCACATAACCTTAAAAAGCCTCATATAGTCTTTCTCTCTTTACGTTCTCTCTTCCCCAAAAAAGCACACGGCCTCATATGGAACTGGTATAGGCATGTCCTATCCATTCTTATATTATCTATGAATGTACCATAATATGATAAGAAGAAAAGTATACTTTTAAGGTATGCCTATTTATGCCAATTGATAACTATGAAGAATTATACGTTTTCCTAAAGATCGGAATCAATTATTATTATTATTATTATACAGATATCTATCATACTCGTGTAGTTACTAGTAAGTAGTAACCGTAATTTTGTGATCTATTCTCATTTGGTTATTAAAATAATTACCAATCTAAATATACATAATATTAAAATATTAAAAATATTATATTATCAACCATAACCATTTATACGGATCTAAAGACGATGATATTCATTTTGTATCGATTGTATAGTTTATATCATATTATACAAGCTACATAGTACAATAATGTTATTATTATTATTACCTTCAGATATGAGTTTTTCGCGAATTTCCCAAGCGAATATCGTTGGATTTTCTCGTTTGTAGAATTCAATTTTCGATACGACTGCCGGCGTGGCAACCTTGGGTTTGCTTCCACCAATCAGGCCAGGAGGTCTAAGGGTTCCTGTAGATCATCAACAACGAAAAGTCAGAAAAACGTACATTATATAGTTTAATATTATGGTTAAACATTTCCAATATAACGGAAACGAACGTATAAATTATATTTATCGAACACTTTCAATAGGATTCTTACGAGTTATGATACATACATAAATACATTATAACTATACTATTTAACAAATATTCAACTACAGATTATTTAAAAAATAATAAGCGAGTCTGCTGTATCGTATATTGTATATACATTCATTATGATTTTATACCATTTCAAATTTCAACATTAATTAATTGTACAAAATAAAGAATAAAAATCGTTTAGAACAAATACGTTATCATATCCTTTCAATTTTTCTATAACTTCCAATCGATTTCCACTTAGGTATTATATTATGTTTTATATGTATAATAATAATAATATGTCCTATTCTTAATCACGCACGTTGATACATGGTTTGCTGAAATATGTAATAATTATACTTTTTGACGATTTTTCTGGCATACAACTATCTATATAATATTATATATTTGTAATCTGTAATCAATAGCATAACCAGGGAGGATTTAGTTGTTTGATCTAAGAAAACCCAAAAAATGCATTGGAAGCTTTTATAACATGACGTAACCCATTTTCTTCTACTTATAAACATCTCCAAACACCAGCTACAGCGGCCGGCAAAGGGTCACTTTTTGCACTAAAAGGCTTAAGACATTAGAAAGTAGAAACACTAATGGAGAAAACAGATTGAATAATTGATAGCTTATAGCTTATAGCATTGCAAAATATTCATCATGAAATAAACAATGGATAAAGTTCTTAATGAATTTACTAAAGACTCCAGAAGAATAAATTATAAAATTGATATAATTTATAATTTACTAATTTAGATACAAAAAGGTTCTTAAATATGTAAAACTGGTTATTAAAAAAATACATATATTAAGATTTAAAAAAAACTTTTATATTTTTACTTATTATTGTGTCTACCTATATAATACTGTGTATATAATAATTAGGAATAATTTACGTTTACAAATATTATTATTCAATTAGGGCCTAGTAACCGGTAAACGTTTGGTAAAGTTGGCAAGGTGTTTGGTCCAGAGTGCTCATATTACACGTCAAGTCTTAACATCAGATTACCCCCCCCCCCTTAGACGACTAATTCCTGGGTACACCAATGTGTGTAATATGTATGATTATCTATATAGTATTAATCATAAATATAACATCCATACTATAATATATTATAACTGTAACACAATTAATCAAAATATTTTTTTTTTAATGGTGTATTGTATTTTAATATTATAATATATTGTGTTCTATTATCCATAACATCGCCATCATTATACGTCAACAATTTTGTAGGTATGTGTATACATATAAGATAATATATTATATTATATGATTTCATGACTTATATATATATAATAAAACAACAGTACAAAACGCAAATCGTGATCGTTGCACACGAACACATGTTAAGCTCCGAACAAAAATGTCAGCTCCTCCGGTGGCTACATAGACGGCTACCGTTTGCAGCGAAATTCGATAACGCTGAAGTGGAATCGCGCGCTCTCTGAAAACACTGCGACGCAGAAAACCATCAATGCGCTTCAGAGTGTAAAAAAATGAGCGCGTGTAACACACACACACACACACACACACACACACACACACACACACACACACACACACATATAATATATCGTAAATGAAAACCGACACCGAGATATTTTTCGAAATCATAATGCTATTCAGACTTTCATTCCGTAGAAAAAAAAAGTAATAAGTTTTTTATTCTTATTATCTATAATAATAATATATTATATGATATTATATTATATTTTAATGAACAGTTTAAATTTAACAGACCGTTTGACGTGATATTGTGTACCTACGTCAATGGCTCGCATTCATATATTATAATATTATACACACGAAGCCATATAGAATCATGAAATAGTGCGTCGATATTATATATAGGTACCACGTGTAACTATACTATTATTATGAACGTACAATAGTTAAAAATCGGTACTCGTATATGATAAGTAGGTATAAACAAAGAAGGGCGTTAACAAGTCAAAAAGTTTTAGATAAAAAAAAAAAGTTATTTTTTTGAAACTGGCAATAACATTACTGCTAGTTAGTATTAAATATTAATCGTCTAATCCATTTAAGAACTAGTTTAAGTAACTGAGTTTTTTTCAGTTGGCTTAAAAATATTCCATCAAGTTTACATAAAAAATTATTTTGAATTTTTTCGTTGGTTTTATTGTTACACATTACCTACTGTTCGTATACGGTATATATTATATAGTTTTAATTAAAAATAATCTAATACTATAACTTCTGTTGTTTTGTAATAAATAATATTAAAGGTAAGTACCTGCTAATGAATTAAAAAAATGTATTCACTTTATTGTAGCTATAAGAAAAACGATTCGGAGACGTTATGTCAGCCTAGTATACTTGTATAAATAATCTAATTTAATAGTTAAAAAAAAATCTAATAAAAAATCGAAAAATATCTCATGTCTATAATTAATAGTGTAACTTTCCAGAGAACTTTTTCTTTTTAATAACGGTAGTAAAACTTGTTGGGAACCTACTATTAATATTTCTAATGTTAGCTATGAAAAGAAAAACTTTTAAGATTTTCTAACTGAAAAAAGTACATTTGATAGCAATAGCTCATAAAAAGTCAAAACTGTTTGAATTTTTTAACATTTATAGAAAATACTAATATTTGGTAAAAATTTTATAAGTCTACGGTTATTAATTGTTGTTAATTTTTGAGATACCTACATCATAGATACACACATCATTGTAAAATCAATACATTCTTTGGTTCCCTTCAGAATCTAAAATATATTCATTTTAATAAGTATGTTTAAATTTAATGAATTTTATCTATTTAAATAAATGGTCAATTAGGAGTAATAAAATATATCACTTATAACTTATAACAGTTTTAACTAGTAATTAGTATCTAAATAGTGTCTAAAGATTTTCAGCTATCATATAAAAACAAAATATCAAGTTTAAGAATTTACCATCTAGTCCCATAATCATCAAAGACAACACCAAATATTGCCTGGGGCACCAAAATACGTAGTGCCGTCACTGGCTATAACTGCTTAACGAAGACTCTGTTCTAAACTTCTAAATGATTATCAGAAAGTATAGCTCGGTACCTATTCAGCTTTTTAACTCTCATATGAGTAAATGCCATTTCACACTATCATCAGGTTAATACGAAATGTGTATTTAATAACTGTATCTAATAAATGACAATTAATGTATAACAATAATTAATAAATGCTAACAATGGGGATCGACTTATAAATCGTCCAAGATCGACCGTTTGGCCACTATAATAATATAGGTAGTATATTATAATATAGATACAATATACACATATATACATTGTACACCTTATAAGCATTTTCAAATATAAATATTTTACATACTCGTACATCACTTAAAAATTAAAATATCGTAAAAACCAATGAGAAAACATGGATATAGTTTTATATAAAAGTTTTATGATAGGTCAATTAACTCTAATATCAAAACTGACAGCACTACTAAGCACACTATTGAAACTGGCGAATGAAAATGTACTATGTTGTAGGCAGTGTTGGGAAAAGATAACCAAAAAATCATCTGGATAAGATAACAGATAATTCATTAAAAATTTATCTTAATAAGGTAAAATATAAAATAATTTTTTTTATCTAGATAAAAAAATAGATAATTTGTTTTTAAATTATATTATAAATAATGTAATTTATTAGTAATTACTTATAAGGTAATTTGTATTAATTAATAAATCCTTAATATCATTTCTCAACTAAAATAATATACAATTTTAATTTTTAATACAACTTGAATAAAAATAAAACTGACAATATTTCAGTAAACATTTATTTTTTCAACTATAATATTATTGGAATTTTGAATCACTACTTAGTTCTCGTAAATTATTGGCAATTTCAGTATTTAAAAATATTCTTATTATTATATTATTTATCTAGATAAATTACCACAGATGACCATTACATTTATCTAGATGAGATAATTAGATGATTTAATTATTTTTATCTAGATAAGATAATTAAAGAAATAACTTTATGTAGATAATTCCCAACATTGGTTGTAGGGGCGTAAGACGGAGACAACACAAGGTCGCTATGGAAATAATGCACAAAACCGATTTGGTTTATGATTTTGAAGTTAGGTATACTAAACGTAACTAAAAATTATTTTTTTTAATTTTTCTTCGCAAATCGGAGACGATTTCCAATTTTAGGGGTGTCATTTGGGGTAGGCTTGGGACAAGGTGGTGGGCATACACTTATGAATTAGATATATACCAATTATAATTTATATGGCATATAATTTTTTAATTTTATATACATATTATCGTAGGTAAGTAAAAACTATATTGTGTTAGTAATTTATGTCTTACTAACCCCATTATACCGGAGATAAAAATATGCAAGTATAACCAGTAGGGAAAACCTCAATATTTTATTTGTTTTAAAGGCCAGAAACAATTTCAAATTCCTTTAAAAACCTTAAACTATATTATATACGCCACTGATTACAATACGCGCAATATTATGCACATTATGAGTGGATACCAAATTAAAAAAATAGTTTCCATTTCATAGGTTATAACTACCTAATCGCGTGTAGAGGTCAGAGGGAATGATATTCATTGCAGAAACAATAACGGAGACGACTTCCGATAGGGAATGTTCGATGTCATGTACAGCTAATTTTCATGTCATTTATAATGTTTATGTGTACACATGCCGGATAATCGCCAGGTGCTTTTAACATAATATAATATACTATATACATTGTTATAATATAAGCTAATCTAAAAACTAAATCCCTTCCAACCCTTTTGCATCGCCATGATGGACGACGAGCTTTTGAATAAATCCTGTGACGCTTATGCCAATATATTTTAGAAATTCAGTATTTCAATGTACCTACTACCTATAAATAAATATATACCTAAAACGAATATCATCTTATAATATGCACAACGTTGTTTGTATACAGGAATCATTTCGATGCATTCCCGGTTCTGATACATTTAATTCTAATACATACATAATATAAAATAATAATACAGTAAAACTTTCGTATTATAAGAAGTCTCATACGATCAACTAAAAAAATTGTATCATAGAGAATTTCATAAATAGAACTAGGAGATAGATATAGATCAAGGAAAATCTAAAATAATATGATTATGTTAATCAAGTATCCATGACAACGACAAAGTCTAGTTTAGTCAAGTAACCACATCAACTAACCCATCCCAAAAATATTTTATGTTAAAAAAGATTGAAGTTTAACTCAATTCAATTTTTAACACATTAATCCAGGGTTTGCAATCTTTATATTTGACCAAAAGCGATCGAAAGTTGTAAACGTAATTATAATGGAAGGCGATAATCAAAATAATAATTAAATACCGCAAAATAAAACATAACGATTAACAAAATATATTATATAATATCATTAAACAAAAAATATCGCAAAACCCAAATGATGAAAGAAATATAACGCAAAGCAAAAAATATCCATTTATTTAATTATATTAGTTACCTTAGTTACCTTGGTTACCTATATTGGTTTCGTAGAAATATTTATTTCATGCATACGGACATTGGAATTGATTATATTATATTCCGTATCCGGGCCATTACCTACCCGCATTAGTTATTATTAATACATTTAATGGGTATTAACACTATTCTAAATAACGATAAACACAAAAGTTTTATAATGTTTTAATTCTGAATTACATAAAATGGAATTTTTTTCAAATGCAAGCCTTGCATTTATCTTTATATTGCACATTTATTTGTACTTAGTTCTGGGTTTATATTTGTAAATACTTATGCCTAATAAATTCGTGAACTTAAAGATCACGAATTAATTTTCTTTTTTTTTAACATAAATAATGTTATTATGGCTTTAATATAAAAGCTATATAGGTGTATCTTGACCGTGACTTTTTTTTAAATTTATTAATGACTTTAATTAATGTTTTTGTAGTAAATTATTTTAAATTATTTCCAACCATTTTAATATATTGAAATAAACCATTTCCCGTTATTAACGCCCTTCGATTTATCCCATCTTAACCTCCATTAAAGATCTTTAACACAGTCATTTTGATGGTTTTGACCAAATACGAAATAAAATTATATTCAATCACAAACTATTTTATTTTTGAAACCGATAACAACCCTATAATAAACAAAAAATATATTATTTGCTTGTGTTCTATGAAAAAATCCTTAAATTTGCAATAAAAACAAAAATTAAGGGTCACTTATTGAGATGATATAATATAGCCTATAAATCCTTGGGACAGTGTAGCTTTCTGTCGGTACATTTTTTTTTTAATGTTTTGAGTATTTTCAGAGATTACCCTGAACAAACAAACATAACATTTTTCTAGTATAGACAACACGCATGCCGACGAGACGACTATTCTTATAACAGACGTTCTGATGAAAAAAAGCATCTGTATAGTTTTAGCCCCTCTTGAGCTTTTAAGATTTCGTCGCCCGTGGGCTTGACACGTTTGCAAATATTTTGCAAATGATAACACGCCGAGAACCCCCCCAAGTGTACAAATCGTTTATTGAGTCGTACTGGACGACTCGACGTGGGAGATACTCGATACTATTTATCGACGAAGAATATTCAGTAAACGAACCCGAGTGTTTACCGCAGGTGTATTATATTATGCACCCGCAGAGGCAGCGGCGGTGGCGATGCTGCAGCATAATATTAATAATATAATACCGGGTAATAGGTATATTATATTATTATATAATGCACATAGATACCGACTTTCCGATATATATATATATATACGTACGGCTACGGTGGCGGCGCCTTGCAGAGCGTACGGGTGAGCGAAAATCACGCGAAAAAAATTTTGAGTTAAGGTGTGGGGGGAGGAGAGGGTGCGATTTTCGACGTGGGAGCAGACAGCTTCGTGCGCATAATACTGAACAATATTATTGCGATATTATAATATATTATTATTATTAAAACTCGACGGCGCCGTAATAATAATATCGCATATACCTACGACGCGTTGGCAGTCCGCGAGTAGCCGGTCGGTGTGTGTCCCTTCAGGCGTCCAATTACGCGTATACCTCGGTATAATGTTATATTGTGCTAAACAATAGTAGGCACAATGTATATATGTATGTATATATTCTGTGCCCGTACCTCATCCCCGTCGTACCTTGCATAATGCGACGTTACGATACACTCCGCCAAGTCGATTATTCGCGTCGATTATAATATTACCATTATCATTGTGATGCGATTTGCGGGGGTGCGCGGTCGTGCGTTATAGACTTTATAGGTACCTACCTATATATAACATAATATTCTATATAGTAGCGGATACCTATAATACTGCTTCGCTGGCAATACGGCATGGCTAGCTTGTGGTCAGGGTTGGTGGAAATACGAATGTAATATGTATTTTATATAGTACAATTATATTTTATTATATTAATACTACTATATAGGATTCGGAATTCGAGGCAATTATATATTATTATAAATAATAAAAATAAAGCAATAGAATGAGAATAAATACAAAAAAATGTGTTTCATATTATGAACAAAAAAACAATTACGATATGATATATTATTGATAGTTTCAAATTAAAATATTGTTTGAATAAATTGTGACTAAAATAATGTATTAAGTTATCATGCTTTTGTATACCGGTTGAACTTTGAAGTTATTTTATGTTGAAAAAAAATGTATGTACCTACTTACAACCATATATTTTGACAAACTGTCTTCAGAAAGAACGTACATGGTTCGGACTTCAAATATTCTTATCCCCACATCGAAAATTACCATTCAACATACATAAAAGTTATCGGTGGCACTGTGGCAGTTTATTAGACATAAATAATTCCAAATAACATTTTCATCATCTCTTATCACTTTGTACCGTAAATATGTGCAAAACTATAGTAATAAATATTGTAAATCTAAC